AAAAAAAAAAAAAAAAAAAAAAAGAAATAACTGAAACATCCTTCAAGACTCCCATAAACTAATCTCAGTGTTTCCTTCCCATTTCAGGTAACTGCAGTTTTGTGAAATTATAAATATACCACTGAGGTAACGAAACTAACTCAAGAAGAATGGAAGAGTATGTTTAAAATTCCAATGTATTTTGTATACATATATTTAAATTATGCCCTCTGTTAAATTTCTGTGTATAACTTATCTATTGCTGTGTAACATATTAGCCCAACACTTAGTGACACATTTGTTCTTTCTCACGGTTTCGGTGGGTCCTGAGCTTAGGAGCAGGTTAGTTGGGTGGTGCTGGCTTGGGGTCTCTCCTGAGCTTGAAGTTGGCCACGGGTGGCAGTGATCTGAAGATCTGACGGGGGCTGGAGTATCCACTTCCAAGCTGGTTCATTGACAGAACTGGCAAGTTGGTGCAGGCTACCAGCAAGAGGCCTTAGTCCCTTACCCTTGAGGATGGGTTCACAGTGCTGCTTAAGTGTCCTCATGCCACGGCAGCTGTCCTCCCTCACGGCGAGAGATTTGAGAGAGAAAGGCAGAAGCTGTCTTTTATCACCTAGCCTTGGAAGTCACACTCTGTCATTCCCACAATAACCTTCTGCTTACATAGGCTAGTCCTATTCCGTTGGGGTAGACTACACAAGGGCATTAATACTAGAAAGTGAGAATCATTTGTGCCACCTTGGAGACTAGATACCACATTCTGTTTTTCACTCATCATGAGACACTTTTGGTTAGCATCTAAAGATAATCTTAGGAAAAAAAGTTAATTTTGGCTCAAATTCAGATTGATCAGCATAGCCAAATTGCATGAGCTACATATCTTTATTAAACAGTAAGTTGTTTGCCTTTGGTTGGTCAAAATGGAAGATATTTAGTGGAATCACATGCAAATTCCTACTTTTGTTTTTTTAATCTGGCTTATTATTGTAATTATTTAATTTTCTCTTAATAAAATGGTATAGAAATAACCAAAACATCATTCAAGACTCCTATACACTAATCTCAGTGTTATATTATATGACAACATGAATATCACAGGAGCCCAGCACGTTGCTGCCTGTGCTTTTGAGTTAAAGTCATGTTTAAATATGGGTTGCTGACTTATTTTTTCTTTATTCTTTCCTTAGAGACAGCCTGGAAGACTCAAACCTTTCTCCGAAAGTTTGGCATTCTGAGATGACAGTGTCGGTGACAGGCAAACCACCTAGTACCGTAGAAGAAGAAGGACTACCTAAAGAAACAGGTGTAGAAATCATCCCAGAAATCCTAGAGCCACTCTCCCTTCCAGATGTGCTGAGGGTCTCTGCAGTCCTGGAGGATACCATAGACCAGCTCTCTATTTTAAAGTACATCATGCAGATTCAGTGCGAACGAAGACAGAGCATCAGCATGGTACATACTCACTCACCGTTAGTTAATTTTGCTTTATTTAATTTTTATTTCTCCATCATTTATAGTATCTATCCCATTATATTTATGTTCTTTCTTTCTTCCTTTTTTTTCTTTTTTTTGGGGGGGATGGGGACAGAGTCTCATTCTGTCACCTAGGCTGCAGTGCAGTGGTGCCATCACAGCTCACTGCAGTCTTGACCTCCCAGACTCAAGCAGTCCTCCCACCTCAGCCTCCTGGGTAGCTGGGACTACAGGCATGCACCACCATGCCTGGCTAATTTTTTATAAAAATTTTATAGAGATGGGATCTCACTATGTTGTCCAGTCTGGCACCATTAAATTTCACTTGGGAAATAGCACCTTTATTTCAGATAAAGGGCTACAATAACTATCTGAGATATGTACTGTCAATTAATGGGGTGAAATTGCCGTAGCTCATGGTACATCACCAGACGGAATATCCTTTTCCCCTATATTGGCATTATTCAAAAAGGCCTATACTTAAATCAGTATAAATACAATATATGTATTGAAGAGGTCGAACTACTGAGTTGTCCACCTATCTTGTATTTCTCAGCTGCTGAAAACTAAGTAAACACTAGGGAAAGGAAATGTAACTCTATTTTTTTTTTTTTTTTTTTTTTTTAAGATGGGATTTCATCATGATGGCCAGGCTGGTCTTGAACTCCTGACCTCAGGTGATCCACCCACCTTGACCTCCCAAAGTGCTAGGATTACAGGCGTGAGCCACCGCACCCGGCCTTCAACTCTATTCTTAATTAACGTTGTTTTAATCTAAAATGACTTTGTTGTCACTGATGAATATGTTGGAACTTGCCTTCCTGAATATCCAGCTGCATTACTGTGTCAGCCATTACATTTTCAATAATGTTTTGGACTCTTCTGTGAAGCAGCACTGAGTTATCAAAAAGTTAACTTACTAGTGAGCAAAGTCTTTATGCAGTTTTAAGCTCTTGTACATTTCAGTAACTTACATTATAGTTATGAAATGGAAATTATTTACAAACAGAAATACACATTTATCAATTTTTTTGTTTTGTTTTGTCTTGTTTTTGAGATGGAATCTCCCTCTGTCACCCAGACTGGAGTGCAGTGGTGCAATCTCTGCTCACTGCAACCTCCGCCTCCCGGGTTCAAGTGATTCTCCTGCCTCAGCCTCCCATGTAACTGGGACAACAGCCGCGCACCACTGCGCCAGCTAATTTTTTATATATTTAGAAGAGACAGGTTTCTCCATATTGGCCAGGCTGGTCTCAAACTTCTGACCTTGTGATCCGCCCACCTCGGCCTCCCAAAGTGCTGGGATTATAGGCATGAGCCACCATGTCCAGCCTTATCAAGTTTTAAATAATAACATTATAAAATTTGTACAGAAGATATTTTTATATCTGATTCCATGACCGATGAAAATTGCTATATAAATGAGAGGGGTTATCTTTTTTGTTTTTTGCTTTTCATATCTAACAGTAAAGAAATCCATATTTATTGAGAGAAGAAAATTCAATTTCTCATAACAATTTCAAATTTTTAAAAAATTATTATTGTTATGCCATAGCCTGGGTTCTTAAAGCTTTCATTAAAGTTTAAAAAGTTTAGACAAGATTTTAGCAGAACAATGGATTTGGAATCAGGAGACATTTTGGATTTATTTATGTGCTGTTAGCAATCATTTCACTTTTTTGGTTTTAGTTTTCTCATAAGTTGTAATGGTGTTTACCTAAATGACGCATAGATTCCTTCCAGTGCTAGCATTCTATGAGTTTTGGGGTAGTTTTTAAATAATATTATAGGAATTGTATAATGTAAGTTAACTTCCTTATTAACTTATGAAGGGCAAATAGATAAGAATCTAAGAACAAAATCTTTCGTTGCATTTAAAGTAAGAGTCTAATTGCAACAATTTAAGATAGCTAACAAATAGTACAGAAGTAACTGGTGTTTTCCTCCTATTTATTCTTCCTCCAGTAAGAATCAAAAATAAAATGTGTGCTTTGGGAGGCCAAGGTGGAAGAATTGCTTGAGGCCAGGAGTTTGAGATCAGCCTGGGCAGCACAGAAGACTCCATCACTACCAAAAGAATGCAAAATTAGCCAGGCATGGCGGCACATGCCTGTAATCCCAGCTACTCAGGAGGCTGATGTGGGAGGGTCTTTTGAGCCTGTGAGATGAGGCTGCAGCAAGCCAAGGTCACACCACTTTAACCTGGGTGACAGAGTGAGACCCTGTCAAGCCAGTGGGGGGAAGGAAGGAGAGAGAGAGAGAGAGAGAGAAGAAAAGAAGGAAGGGCAGGAAGGGAGGAAGGAAAGAAGGGAGAAGGAAAGGAAGGGAGGAAGGAAAGAAGGGGGCAGGGAGGGAGGGAGGGAAAGAAAGAAAGAGAAAGAAAAGAGAGGAGAGAATAGAGAGAGACAGAAAGAAAAAGAGAAAGGAGAAATAGAACGAAAAGGAAAGAGAGAAAGAAAAGAAGGAAGAAAGAAGGAAAAATGGGAAGACATTCAGTTAACAAAGTCTTCTCAATGATACCTGCTGTCAGCCTTTGAAAAGAGTACTTTGCCTTCATGGAATCTCAAGAATGAAAACTCTAAACTAATAACAGTATTCAGCAGCGGTCACTACTCCAGTAAATAAAAGAATGAACTTTTTGTGCTGCTTTTACTGGTTTATGATAGTGATCTTTTACCCACAAAATTTTCTAACTCAACAGAAACCCTCCTCATGATTTTAGTGTAAATAGTAAAGGCTTGCACTGCAGTATAATCATGTTGATTAACAGCAATTTAAAAGTCCTTTTCTCAATGTTAGTTTCCTATCTTTTAAAAATTGTGAATCTCTTAAAATATTTTTTGGGTTTTATTTCGTGGTACTATAGTTGTTTTGACTCATGAATTTAAGATGCCATTGCCCTGTAGGGCACAGGAGATATATTTTAAAACATTAGTACAGCTAGTGCTCGACTTACGACCACGGTCGGGACCGTGGACCGGTCGTAACACGATTTGGTCGTAAGTTGAGTAGGCTATATGTACAGTTGAAATGGTGCACGCGGAGACGGTAGTGCTGCTGGAAGCTGGTCCGCACTGTCGTACGCCCAGCTGGGCAACGTTTGCGCTGCCAGACGCGGAGCAGTCGTGGCTAGCGATTGTGGTCGTAAAGTCGAATGGTCATAAGTTGCATAGGTGGTAAGTCGATCAATACCTGTATGTACATGGGTGTTTTCTTTCCCCAGAGGCTTGGCATCCTTTAGCCTTTTAACAACCTTGAGAGGAAAGGTTAGCATTATCCCTCTTCTAAAAACACTTTTATGGCTAAGGCCATCTCCAGATACATTTTCATGTATTAGAATTATGAAATGGGGCCAGGCACGGTGGCTCACACCTGTAATCCCAGCACTTTGGGAGTCCAAGATAGGCAGATCACAAGGTCAGGAGACCGAGACCATCCTGGCCAACATAGTGAAAACCCATCTCAACTAAAAATACAAAAAAGATTAGCTGGGTGTGGTGGCAGTCACCTGTAGTCCCACCTACTCCGGAGGCTGAGGCAAGAGAATTGCTTGAACCCGGGAGGCGGAGATTGCAGTGAGCTGAGATTGTGCCACTGCACTACAGCCCGGTGGACAGTGCAGGACTCTGTCTCAGAAAAAAAAAAGAATTATGAAATGAAGGGTGAATAATATATTAATATACCAGGTTCCACCAGAGATGAGAGTGATTTGAGCAAAGTTTGGAGCTTTCTGGCAGGGAATACTGCTTTTCTTCTCTTTTTCCTAGGGAAAAAATCCTATCTTGTGCATAGTGTGTACAATATAAACATGTTTCTTAGAGGCTGGGTGTGGTGGCTCACATCTCTAATCCCAGCACTTTGGGAGGCCGAGGTGGGCAGATCACCTGAGGCCAGGAGTTTGAGACCAGCCTGGCCAAAATGGTGAAACCTCATCTCTACTAAAAATACAAAAAAAAAAAAAAAAAAATAGCCGGGTGTGGTGGTGCACTCCTGTAATCTCAGCTACTTAAGGGGCTGAGGTAGGAGAATCACTTGAGCCCAGGAGGTGGAGGTTGCAGTGAGCAGAGACTGCATCACTGTAATCCAGCCTGAGTGACAGACTGAGACTCGGTCTCAAAAAAATGATTTTTTTCTTTTTGTGAGTCAACTAGAACACTTAGCTCATTTCTATAATTCGATTCTAAAAATTCACATTTCTTTCTAGTACTCAGTAAATCAGGACATGTGACACATTTGCTTCCCTTTCCAGTGCCCAAGTATAAAGGTAGAGGAATAGTGGTTGGGGAACTTAGAAAATGGGGCATCCCAGAGGTTGCAGTGAGCCAAGGTCGTGCCATTGCACTCCAGCCTCGGTGACAGAGTGAGACTTTGTCTCAAAAAAAATAATTTATTTAAATAAAAGAGACAATGGGGCCTCCTAGACCTTACATTTTCCCCTTATTGCCTTAGACAAAATATAAGATGATAACTATTTATTTTACCAGTGAGAAGATGGGGACACAGAGATGTTAGATAGTTGCTCAAGGTCAGTACAGTTTAGACATAGAGCTGGATTCAAACACGGCTTCAGAAGCCATATGTGTAGTCACTATAATACATGGCCCCTCAGTGGCTCAAGCTTTTAGCCACAGTTTAGTTTACATAGGCATCATCAACTAAAAGGCATATGCTGTTCCTGTGTTCTTTAATATTCAAGTTTGGGGCTGAAAAAGAAATTATTTTGGCTTTTCCCTCCTTGATCCTCAAAATCTACATCATACTGCTAAATCTACTATCAACCTCTTTTAGTATGATTCTCCTTTTTTATTTATATTTCAAGTTCATATGTTCAATGAACATTTGAGTCTCTGCTATATGCTAGTCATGTTCTAAGCAATGGGACTATACAGATGGCCACATCCAATCTTGTTCCAAAAATAATTTGTCTTCAAAAACACTTTTTTTTAGAAGTGAACCAAGATCACTAAGACAATGTCCCTTCCCTCCTAGAAACCGCAATCTGATGGAGATACTTTATAAAAAATTACAATATGATAAATGCCTGCTAACAGAGATTTTTCACCAAGAACTTTACTTTTGATCAGTTTACCAGGTGGTAAGTTGGGGAATGAGAGAGAAAGGGAATGCTGTGTGAAGTTAGCAGCAGGATATGGTTTGTTGTGGCTGAAGAAAACCGCACATTTTCTTGGAGTGTGGAGTACAAGTCAGAAACAATAATGTTGAAAAATGTAGCCGGGCGCGGTGGCTCATGCCTGTAATCCCAGCACTTTGGGAGGCTGAGGCGTTTGGATCACAAGGTCAGGAGATTGAGACCAGCCTGGCCAACACAGTGAAACGCCATCTGTACTAAAGATACAAAAAATTAGCCGGGCATGGTGGCACATGCCTATAATCCCAGCTACTCTGGAGGTTAAGGCAGGAGAATCGTTTGAACCCAGGAGGCGGAAGTTGCAGTGAGCTGAGATTGCGCCATTACACTCCAGGCTGGGTGACAGCACAAGGCTCCATCTCAAAAAAAAAAAAGAGAGAGAAAGAAAAATGTAGACAAAAGCCTCTGTCTTATAGTATTATCTCTTAAAAAAAAAAAAAAAAAAAAAAAAAAAAAAAAAAAAAAAAAAAAACAATGTTTTTTAATTTTTTTTAAAAAAAAAAAAAAAAAAAAAAAAACTAATATTTTTTATTGTTTTGAAAAGAAAAGTGGAGAAATGAATCTAGAAGGAAAGAATCTACACAAACTTCCAGTGGCCTCAACAATCACAAAAATACCTCGTCCATTAATATCCAAAGAAGAACCCGAGTTGCCAGAAATCAGACAAAGAGGCCAATTTCCTGTGGAGTTTAACAAAATGCAGGATCTTATCTTTAAAAATCCTACAAGGCAGACCATAATGACTACGGAGACACTGAAGAAAATGCAGATTGATAGGTAAGGAAGGAACACATTTTGCAATGGAATAACGTATGTGCACATAGATGAGAGAATGGGTACCTGGGTGGCTGACTGCTCCCTTTTATGGGTTGGTCATTACTGTGTATGCAGATTGACTGCTGAGAATAGAATTAGCTAATTAGAGGCAGGGTGATACCAATGAAAAGCAAGGTGGCTCTATGGTATGGCACAAGTTACTAAGTCTTTTTTTTGTTCAGACCCAGTTTTACTCCTGTAGCCCAGGCTGGAGTGCAGTGGTGAGATCTCGGGACACTGCAGCCTCCACCTCCTGAGTTCAAACAATTCTCCTGCCTCAGCCTCCTGAAGAGCTGGGATTACAGGTATATGCCACCATGCCTGGCTAATTTTTGTATTTTTGGTAGAGACGGTTTCACCATGTTGGCCAGGCTGGTCTCAAACTCCTGACCTCAGGTGATCCACCTGCCTCAGCCTCCCAAAGTGTTGGGATTATAGGCGTGAGCCACCGCACCAGTTATTATGTCTTTGTTTCCAATTCTTATTTATTTTTAAATTCTTTTTTTTCCCTTCAGACATATACCTGCATGTTGTTTATATTTTAGAGACTACGTCACTATGTTGCCCAGGCTGGAGGGCAGTAACTATTCACAGGAGATGTCAGAGCACTGCCATCCTCAAGCTTCTGGCTTCAAGTGATCTTCTCGCATAGCTGGGACTATAGTCACACTGGCTGTTTTCAATCACTGAAAATGAGAATGGGCCAGGCACAGTGGCTCACACCTGTAATCCCAGCACTTTGGGAGGCCAAGGTGGGCAGATCATGAGGTCAGGAGTTCGAGACCAGCCTGGCCAACAAGGTGAAACCCCATCTCTACTAAAAACACAAAAATTACCTGGGTGTGGTGGCATGCACCTGTATTCACAGCTGCTCAGGAGGCTAAGGCAGGAGAATTGCTTGAACCTGAGAAGTGGAGGTTTCAGTGAGCTGAGATCACGCCACTGCACTCCAGCCTGGGCAACAGAGCAAGACTCTGTCTCGAAAAACAAAAAATGACAATACTAGCAGCCTTGCAACAGTAGTGTAAGAGTTGGAAATAACGTGGCTCTATGGCTTAGTTGGTTAAAAAGAGTTGGAAATAAGGCTTTAGCCGAGTACCTGGCACAGATTGGCAGCTACTGTGACGCCTTATCCATTAATAAGAAATAGCTGCTGGATAGCCACATTCTAACTGTTTTAACCCTGAGGGTTTCTTAAATCCCTGTTGCCTCATAATTTCTTGTTGTCAGCTGGCTCAATGACAAACCTGTTAAGTTTAAGAGGGTGTAACATTATGCTAAGAACTTTTGGTAAATGAGTTTACTGCAGTTTACCCAGTGCCACAAGCTAAATCCAGTATGAAATCTGTTTTGGAAGTTTTATTGGAATACAGTATTGCCCATTTGTTTATACACTGTCTGTGACTGTTTTCATGCCACAATGCAGAGTTGAGTCATTGCCTAAGAGAACTTATGGCAGTCAAGGCCGAATATTTACTGTTTTCCCCTTACAGAGAAAGTTTGTTGACCTTGGTTTTAGACCCTTGAACCAAGGGTAAGATCTGTTGCTAAAGTCAGTCTGGCCCAGATTTGCATCTGACAGAAAGGTATCCTGCTTATACACTGCCCAGTGCAGTTAACGTCCTTTCCATTCTCAGTGTCTGGCTCATATCGTTTCTTGAAAGACCCAAAACACCAGTCTCAGATTATTTGTAGGGGATAGTTTTAGGTTTATATTCCGTAGGAAACTCAGGGTGGCCAGGTGTGGTGGCGCACACCTGTAATCCCAGCACTTTGGGAGGCCAAGGGAGGCAGATCACAGGATCAGGAGATCGAGACCATCCTGGCCAGCATGGTGAAACACCGTCTCTACTAAAAATACAAAAAAATTAGCTGGGCATGGTGGTGCACGCCTGTAGTCACAGCTACTTGGGAGACTGAGGCAGTGAACCAAGGAGGCGGAGATTTCAGTGAGCCAAGATCACATCACTGCAATACAGCCTGGGCGACAGTGTGAG